CACACACACACACACACACACACACACACACACACACACACACACACACACCCTTCCTTCCCCATGTTCTCCTCCAATTACTGCCCTATTTCTCTCTTCTTTGTGCCCAAACTTGTTACCTTCCATTTTCTCATCTCCAATTCATTTCTACACTTGTCTCCTGGCACACAAGCTACTCTTTCAAAGCCACCAATAATCTCCTGTCGAGATTAAATGACTCTTGAGTCAGTGTCCTCTTCTTTCCTCTTGGTTTCTATTCCTTCCTAGAACTCTTTAATTGTTTTAAACACTCATTTCACAGTCTCTTTCAGATTAAGCTCTCAAGCTGCTAATCCTCCTGTTGGCCTTCCTTCAAAGGAGGTAAAATCCTTACATGATTTTGAAACCTTTTTTTTCATATCATGAACTCATCTTCAGTGGGGATTATGTTTTCTGCAGAAGTCCTCTTGCCCTGGGTTGAGAGATGTTCCCACACGGCCACGACATTACCTTCTGGAGGATGCACCATGCGCTTCCTCGCTTCAGAGCCAATTTTCATATTGCTTGGTTTTGGAGGGCCCCACCTCAGAATGTGCCAGGCACATGTTAAGGACTCGGAAGTTACTGACTGGTTAACTATGATGCCAGTGATGCCCGGTGGAGATATCAGTGGAGTAGACAAGTTGGAAAGCCTGAAATATTGTCAGCACTCTGCTATGAACTAGCTATATGATCTCGGACAAAAGACTTAATTCTGTATTTCTTCATACACAACATAAGGAAATTAAACTAAATAATCAGTATATTCATCATCCAAGCTCATAATGAATTAAAATAAGAACTGAGGAGTTGTGTAACTATACTTTTCCTAAAATAATTTTGAGAAAAATTAAGGCAAAATAGAGATGCTGCAAAGCAGAGAAAGCACCAGGTTTGTTGCCTTCCTTACATAGGACATAAATTAAAGGGTTATATATGGATTTTTCACATTTATTTTGTGACACATGAAAATAATATGAAGTTCAAATTGTGTCCATGAAGAAAATTTTGTTGAAATACAGTCACTCCCATTTATTTACATATTGTGCTACAATAGCGGAGTTTAGCAGTTAAGGCGGAGGTTGTCAAAGTCTAAAATATTTACTCTGGTCCTTTGCTGAAAAAGCTTTTACTTAGTCTACCTTCTAGGGCCTATATTCAGTCAAAATCTTCTTTAGGCTTCCATGGCAAAAGATGGCCTTCAGACAAAAGGTATGCATTTCAGATCTGAAATGCATGCCCACGTGTATATCGTACACCATGTATCACGCGCGTATGAGACATCACACTTTCTTCCTGAGTCTCTTTATTCCTTTGGCTTCTGTAACATCACTTTCCTCTACTTGTCCTCTTCCACCTGCCTATTCCTTCTCATTTTCCTTTACATGTGCCCTTCAGGACAAACTCTGATCTTGTTCCAATCTGCATTTATTATTCCACTCTCCACTAGACTTTGAGCAACTCCAGCTTTTTTAAAATTAAGGTGTCCTTGATATACAGTCTTATGAAGGTTTCACATGAGCAACATTGTGGTTACTACATGCACCCATATTATCAAGCCCTGCCCCCACCACCATTACAGTTGCTGTCCATCAGCATAGTAAGATGCTACAGAGTCACTACTTGTCTCCGCCGTTCTATACTGCCTTCCCCGTGACCCACCCACTCCTGCTAATTCTTTTATCCTCAGACCTGGCACAGGTTAGGCTGCTTCGCAGATGTTCCAGAAACTGAAATGGGCCCAAACGAGTCACAGATGACTGCATTTGGAGCCTGAGTACCTAGGAGCACAAAGAACTCAATTAGGAGTAGGAAAATCAGAAGGAGCAATTTAAGGTGTGAAGGTGAGAGCAATGGTTTCTGTCACAAACATGCTGAGCTGGGACTGTGGTAGAGTATCCAGGTGGACAGGTCCAACTAGGAACTGGAAATATAATATCCAAGTCCCAGGAGGAAGATCAAGTAGAACCAGAGTTACAGATATGGGGGAGTCTGAAGCTGTACTGGCTGATAAAATAGCCAAGAGAGAACAATAATCCAAGAGAAACAGACTAAGAACATTTTGGAAATCATGAGGCAAGACAAAGAAGCAGGTAAGTATCAGGAGAATGCAATGTTAGGGAAGCTAAGGGGGAACAGTTACAGGAAGGAAGGGGATTGAATTATCTAAGAATAACTTGGGGTTTTATTGAAGTTGAAAATAGTTCACTAAGAGAAAAATGTTTATGGAGAGTAGCTTTTCACTCTAAGCAGTTAGAGCGTATATTTACTTAATATAAAAGTTGGTTTTCCCTGAGCTATAAGCTGAAAGTCAAACACCTAACTCTCCTGGGGTTCTCCATGGCCACATCCAGTATCAGAGACCACAGTGCACCCACAAAGAAGGTCAGGCAGCTCCCTGACCGCACAGTCACTCAGAACAGCAGAGAGAAAACAAAGTCGAGACAAAATCTCGTCTGGGTCATACCTGAAATAGGGCCCAGCTGTGCCATTTTCCCGAGCCATGGCAGAGGCTCTGGGCCAGGCTCGAAGAGAGACATCATGAGGTTTGATTTCTTCTTGCTGTCAGCTTGGGAGTAGAGCATTCCATGCCATTCAGGACTAGACGGAGAGAAGATGGAAGATCAGAAGAACATCAAGCCTAGGACTATCAAGCTAAATAAATCTAAGCTGTGATTTTTCTCTTGAGAGGCATGGGCTTCAGCTTTGAAATCAGGTGCATTACTTCTACTAAAGGCATATCCTAAACCCCAAAACACATACTGCTGCCCCCTAATGCTACTGTTCCTCTGAGACATGTACTGTTATTCAATTATGTAGATATGAAAATCAAAAGCAGTCTTAGAAGACATAGAAATCACAAGGGCAGCACGTAGCTGCAGAGGTGCTGAGAAGGAAGGGCTGCAACCACAGGTCTTCTCGGCTGCCTTCCTGAGTCATTCACAGCAGCAGCACTAGAGAAGCCTTTCTAAAGAAGGGTACAAAGCCATCACCCAGCTCTGTTCCTACTTCTCAAAGGGCCCCAGGTGATCCTTATATTCAGGGCCAGTACAAGTACTTGGGCACCAAGAAATACAGCAAACTAAAACCTAATGAGAATTGCATTCTTCTTTTTGAACCAGCTAATTTTAACTCAAGCAGAAATGGAACTATGCTTCCTCTGAGTACTCCCAACCTCACGATCTTCTTTACCAGCCAACCCCAGGTGATGGCCACAAAGTGGTCACTTTCTTTTCCTAACAATAGGTAGCACAGAAAGGGAAGCAGATAGTTTTGCAAATTTTGAGACTGCAGTGATGGGAAAGCTGGAAGGGCTTTTCTCATAGGGACAGAAAGCACCATGGTGGTTAGAGCTAGGGCTCTGGAGTCAGAATGCACAGATTAGAGTCCCAGTTCTTCCGTCTACTAGCTATGTGACCTTGAGCAAGTTCCTGACCTCTCTAAGCCTCATTTTCCTCATCAACAGAATGGGGATAATACCTCCTGGCAGTGTTAACAATTGTGAAGGACTGAAAGAGTTAATATATGTAAAGTGCCTAGAGGAGTGCCTGGCACCTGGTAAAAATGTTAAGTTAATGTTATCAGCATCCTTTTTCAGTTAGTTCTCTCTCCTCATTTTATAGTTGAGGAGTCTGTGAATGCTCCATAAGATCCTATAGCAAGTTAATAGCAATGGTATGTATAACTGAACTCAGGTTTCCTAGATAGGACAGAAAAGAAGAAAACTGAGAAAGAATACAAGAAAAGCAACATAATTAAGAGGCTCATTCTGCACTGACTCTAGGGGATGATTTAAAGAGCAGTTTAGAAAATGCTGGTAGGTGTAAAGGGTATGGCAGGGACAGGAAAAGGTGACAAGGACCTTTCCATTTCTTTCAGAAAGTCTGTAAACTGTAAATTGATTCTTCCTTTCACTCAACAGTTTCTTACCCTAATTGAACTATTGCCACCATTCCTTCCACTTTTAGGCTGCCATGGAGCAGGACACAGAAGTTGGGTATTTTGCCTGCGATCTGATTGGCTGAGTTTTCATCTTCATTGTCATCAGTTATGCCAGTACCCACCTCATCACCTTCTGTGAAAAGAGGAGAAAATACGTCAGTCTGAGATTAGTTACAATAGCCCCTTGGCTGTTTCTAGCTTTAGAAGGAAAATACATGGACTTATAAAAGAATATTATAACAAGTAAGAGAAACTCATATTCCTGTTCCTATGTCTATATAAAAGTCAGTTTCCACACATGATACCAATTCCATTCATATGAAACAGCCAGAATAGGCAAATCTACAGAGACAGAAAGGATATTAGTGACCTGGGGCTGGGGGCGATGGAGTTTGGGGTTGACAGCTAAATGGTTTCTTTCTGGGGTGGTAAAAATTCTAAAATTCTGATTCTAAAACTGTAGTGATGGTTGTACAACTCTGTAAACACACTAAAAACTACTGAATTGTACACTTTAAGTGGGTAAGGTGTATAGTATGTGAGTTATATTTCAATAAAGTTGCTACACACAAAAAATCAGCTTTCTGTGGTTTCTACTAGGACACTTAGCTAGATGCTCTCTGGGGGGCTTCAGGCACCATCTTAACAGAACCACGGATTCAGAGTGGTCAACACTGTTCTCAACTGACAGCCTTTAAGCAGCACATGGATGGGAGGCCCCAAAGGATAAACTTCTTGACCCAACTCTCCAACTCCCAGTTCGTTCATACATTCTGCTGACAGATGACCCTTCCTACAATTAACTTCCTTCTGGAACTATCTGTCTCAATTTCATTCAAAGACTCTAATTAAGAAGAATTTTCCTAGTTTAGCTTGACTTTTAACATGGCTCCATTCTGCCTTTCCATACTTTCCACTGTTCTCCATGTAAACTCTTCATTTTGCCCAATCCTGGCAATTTATATATTCTGCAATCCCCAGGGAATGCAGAATTCCCTGAGGACCTTAGAAATAAGGGAAGCCTGGTTAACAATAAAGTAAATTATGGACACAATGATATTTAAGTCAAATGTGGGAACATAAGATTCTGTCTGTGAATGTGTGACTGAGGGTTATGGAATACCCAACATTCCAACTGAGATAAGCAGGCATAGAAGGAATGTGCTCATAACTCAGTAAATGGAAACCTGCTTGCTTATGTACACTTCTTGGAGAAAGCTGGTGGATATGAAGTGGATGGGGTAGCCTAGAACAGAAAAAAGAAAAGTTTAAAGTGCTAGAGACCAACAATGTCCCATAGAAATGCTCAATTTGGGGGACGTAACTTTACAGTAATGAGGCCTCACACAGGCCTGGACTCATCCACTCATTCAGTAGTATTTAGTGAGTAACTACTATGGGCTAGGCACCAGTAGAGGACAGATGTGGCTTCTCCCCTTATGAAGCTATATTTGACTTCTACATATTCAGGCAACCTTCTGAGAACTACTTTGGTTCCCTCAGCATCTCCTACCAGGAAAGGCAGAGCCCTGGGTGGGCACTAAGCATTCTCATCTCAAAAGAGGATTTCAACTAACGAAGCAACTCATAATACACAGATGACAAAATGCTTTCCACAGTGTAAAGCAGCAGTTTCCCAGAAGAGTAAGTAAGCAACATACCATTATTTTAAAATTCCAATCCAATAAACTCTTCCTTTCCTCCAAATCCTGCAAAATGGGCTATCCTATATCTGACATTTAAGAATAACTTTACATAATTAGATATTTCATTTTTATTGCTGGACTAGGAAGAGAACTCACCTTTGTTAAGTGCTATAGGTAGGACCAGATGTCTGGAGAGAACTGGGGGGCTTGAAATATCAGCTATGTCAATAAATCCCACTATTTCCAAATCTGAAAAGAAGGAACCAGTGCAGAAGTAAGTGGTGCTGCAGGAGGGTACATCATTTTCTATGTACTGGATTTCAAAAGCACAATGTTTAGGTGGGGAATTCAAATATGATGATTAGAGTTCCTCTAGATGACTCATAATTTATAATTTAAGTAGCTCAGGAAATAAGGATAATTGTCTTTTATTTAATGAACTGAAGTTATATGACAAATCAGCTAGACTTGGTTTTTATGAGGCTCGGTCCCCAAGCCAAGGCAAAAAAAGCTCAAAGAGCAAGTCCCTCTGTTACAGAGAAGGACATTCACGCCAGCAGGGGGCGCAGTAGTCAGACATTTCCACAACAACTCCGAGCAGCTGTTCTTGGAGAATAAAGCCGCCGCATTAAAAACGTTGCCCAGAGAAAAAAATACATTTCTACAAACCAAGGTAGCTGTCTAAATATGACAATGGGTTCTTTGATTTCTAGAAGCCATATCAAAGACCAAGAGTATTTGTTGAAAATCTGAAATAAGTAAAAAAACAAAAGTGGTAACCCAAAATACTTCTTATGAGTTTCTTTCTGATTCTATAAATAGTATAAAAACTTGGAAAACACTAAAAATTGTAAAGATGAAAAAGTCACTCTTTATGCACCATCAAAGGACACCTCTATCAGTACTTTATTGAATTACTTTTCAGTTTTTCTTCTAGGTATAGACACACTCATTATTTCTTTAATTAAAATATTGGAATACAATCTTATATTGGTCTCAAGTATACAGCACAGTGGTTCAACAGTTACCCACATTATTAAATCCTCACCCCCTCTAGTGCAGCTACTATCTGTCAACACAGGAAGATGTTGCAGAATCACTGGCTATATTCTCCATGCTGTACTACCATCCCTGTGACCAACTTATACTATGATTGAGAATTTTTATGCCCCTTTATTGTCCTCACCCAACACACTCATATTCCAAAACAATTAAAAAAAATCAGGATCATGGTGAGTACACTCTACTTCTAATACATCTGGAAACTTGATTCTCTAGAGATTTGTTGTCACTACTTTCTTTATCTGAGTAACAAATGAATCAGCTTAAGCAATTATATATTTTCCATTTGAGTAGAAAGAGGCCTACATTTTAAAGTGGTTTAAATATAAGCAATCCCAAAGAGCTTGGATTAAGTTTATATGGGAAAAAAAAGACCTATTCAAAGTCACTTATCATAAAACGATGGGAGTGAAGTGAAATCTAATTGGTTTGAAGGTAGCAAAACATTTGGCTCAGCTTAATACACTGCTGTCTAGTCACAGTGAAAAAGATGGATGCTCTTAAAACTCTTCGAAGACAACATAGGCAAACATCTCCTGAATATAAGCATCAGCAACTTCCTCCTGAACCCATCTCCTCAAGAAAGGGAAACAAAAGCAAAAATGACTCACGGGACCACATCAAACTGAAAAGTTTTTCTACAGCAAAGGACATCATCAACAAAACAAAAAGGTATCCTACAGTATGGGAGAATATACTTGTAAATGACATATCCAACAAAGGGTTAACATCCAAAATATATAAAGAACTTAAACACCTCAACACCCAAAAAGCAAATAACCCGATTAACAAATGGGCAGAGGATATGAAGAGACAGGTCCCCAAAGAAGAAATTCAGATGGCCAACAGACACATGAAAAGATGCTCCACATCACTAATCATCAGGGAAATGCAAATTAGAACCACAATGAGATATCACCTCACACCAATAAGGCCAGCATCGAAAAGACTAAGAACAACAAATGCTGGCGAGGATGCGGAGAAAGGGGAACCCTCCTACACTGCTGGTGGGAATGTAAGCTAGTTCAACCATTGTGGAAAGCAATATGGAGGTTCCTCAAAAAACTAAAAATAGAAATACCATTTGACCCCGGAATTCCACTCCTTGGAATTTACCCAAAGAATACAACTTCTCAGATTCAAAAAGACATATGCACCCCTATGTTTATCGCAGCACTTTTTACAATAGCCAAGATATGGAAGCAACCTAAGTGTCCATCAGTAGATGAATGGATAAAGAAGATGTGGTACATATACACAATGAAATACTATTCAGCCATAAGAAAGAAACAAATCCTACCATTTGCAACAACATGAATGGAGCTGGAGGACATTATGCTCAGTGAAATAAGCCAGGCAGAGAAAGACAAATGCCAAATGATTTCCCTCATTTGTGGAGTATAACAATGAAGCAAAACTGAAGGAACAAAATAGCAGCAGACTCAGAGACTCCAAGAAGGGACTGGTGGTTACCAAAGGGGAGGGGTATGGGAGGGTGGGTGGAGAGGGAGGGAGAAGGGGACTCAGGGGTATTATGTTTAGTACACATAGTGTGGGAGATCACGGGGAGAACGGTGTAGCACAGAGTAGGCACACAGTGGATCTCTGGCAACTTGCTGCACTGATGGACAGTGACTGCATTGGGGTATGGGTGGGGACTTGATAATATGAGTGAATGTAGTAACCACATTGTTTTTTCATGTGAAACCTTCATAAGAGTGTATATCAATCATACCTTAATAAAAAATTTAAAAAAAAAGAAAAAGAAAAAGAAAAAGATGGATGCTCTACTTCCAGACAGCCAGGAGCTAAAGCACACACAAAAAAGAAGCCTGTGCACAGCCCTTCACTTCACTTTACAGCTCCTTAAAATCTGTACACCCGAGCATGAAATGAACCCTTTCTGTGCACTTAGTTTTTGGTAATTGGTCTATCCAGATTTTCTGTTTCTTCCTGGATAGGCCTTGGAAGTTTGTATTTCTCTAGAAAGTTGTCCATTTCTTCTAGGTTATCCAGTTCATTAGCATATAATTTTTCATAGTATTCTCTAATAATTCTTTGTATTTCTGTGGTATCCATTGTGATTTTTCCTTTCTCATTTCTGATTCTGTTTATGTGTGTAGATTCTCTATTTTTCTTGACAAGTCTGGCTAGGGGTTTGTCTATTTTGTTTATTTTCTCAAAGAACCAGCTCCTGCTTTCATTGATTCTATTGTTTTATTCTTCTAGATTTTATTTATTTCTGCTCTAATCTTTATTATGTCCCTCCTTCTACTGACTTTGGGCCTCATTTGTTCTTCTTTTTCTAGTTTTGTTAATTGTGTTTAGACTGTTCATATAGGATTGTTCTCCTTTCCTGAGGTAGCCCTGTATTACAATATACTCCCCTCTTAGCACGGCCTTTGCTGCGTCCCACAAATTTTATGGTGTTGAATTATTGTTGTCATTTGTCTCCATATATTGCTTGATCTCTGTTTTTATTTGGTCATTGATCCATTGATTATTTAGGAGCATGTTATTAAGCCTCCAAGTGTTTGTGGGCTTTTTTGTTTTATTTGTATAACTTATTTCTAGTTTCATACCTTTGTGGTCTGAGAAGCTGGTTGGTACAATTTCAATCTTTTTGAATTTACCGAGGCTCTTTTTGTCGCCTAGTATATGATCTATTCTTGAAAATGTTCCATTGGCACTTGAGAAGAATGTGTATTTCATTGCTTTTGGATGGAGTGTTCTGTAGATGTCCATTAAGTCCATCTGTTCTAATATGTTGTTCAATGCCTCTGTGTCCTTACTTATTTTCTGTCTGGTGGATCTGTCCTTTGGAGTGAGTGGTGTGTTGAAGTCTCCTAAAATGAATGCATTGTATTCTATTTCCCCTTTAATTTTGTTTGTATTTGTTTCACATATTTAGGTGATCCTGTGTTGGGTGCATAGACATTTATAATGGTTACATCCACTTGTTGGATTGACCCCTTTATCACTTTGTAATGTCCTTCTTTGTCTCTTGTGACTTTGTTTTGAAGTCTATTTTGTCTGATACCAGTACTGCAACTCCTGCCTTTTTCTCCCTATTAGTTGTATGAAAAATCTTCTTCCATCCCTTTACTTTCAGTCTGTCTATGTCTTTGGGTTTGAAGTGAGTCTCTTGTAGGTAACATACAGATGGGTCTTGTTTTTTCATCCATTCAGTGACTCTATGCTTTTTGATTGGTGCATTCAGACCATTTACATTTAGGGTGATTATCAATAGGTATGTACTTATTGCCATTGCAGGCTTTAGATTTGTGGTTACCAAAGGTTCAGGGTAATTCCCTTACTATCTAACAGTCTAATTTAACTAACTTAGAATGCTATTACACACACAACCTAAAGGTTCTTTTTCTTTTCCTCCTTTTTCTTCCTCCTCCATTCTTTATGTATTAGGTATCATATTCTGTATTCTTTGTCTATCCTTTGATTGACTTTAGGGGTAGTTGATTTGATTTTGCATCTGTTTAGTAATTAATTGTTCTACTTTCTTTACTGTGGTTTTATTTCCCTTGGTGACAGCTACTTAGTCTTAGGAACACTTCCATCTATAGCAGTCCCTCCAAAATATACTGTAAAGGTGGTTTGTGGGAGGTTAATTCTCTCAGCTTTTGCTTATCTGAAAATTGTTTAATACCTCCTTCAAATTTAAACAATAATTTTGCTGGATGAAGTAATTTTGGTTAGAGGCCCTTCTGTTTCATTGCATTAAATATATCATGCCACTCCCTTCTGGCCTGTTAGGTTTCTGTTGAGATGTCTGATGATAGCCGGATGGGTTTTCTTTTGTATGTGATCTTTTTTTCTCTCTCTAGCTGCTTTTAAAAGTCTGTCCTTATCTTTGATCTTTGCCATTTTAATTATAATATGTCTTAGTGTTGTCCTCCTTGGGTCCCCCAGATTGGGGAAGTTTTCAGCAATTACCTCCTCAAAGACACTTTCTATAGCCTTTTTCTCTTCTTCTGGTACCCCTATAATGCTAATATTGTTCTGTTTGGATTGGTCACACAGTTCTCTCCATATTCTTTCATTCCTAGAGATCCTTTTTTCTCTCTGTGCCTCAGCTTCTTTGTATTCCTCTTCTCTTATTTCTATTCCATTTATAGTCTCCTCTACTACATTTAATCTGCTTTTAAATCCCTCCATTTTATGTTTTATTTCAGATATGGAATTTCTTAATGATTCAATCTCCATCCTCAATTCGCCCCTGAGTTCTTGAATATT